TGATGTTTGGATTGTCAGTGAGACCCCACAGACACAAACCGCGCACGGTGGTCTTTTGAACACAGCTATCTATGCATAAAACATAATGGATGCTATCCACTTTACATTCTTTCATCTGTCTGGTTTGAAGCGATGGAGTCTGTTCTCGAAGAAACGAATTAGCGAGTATAGCTAATACACAGCATATTTAGATGATATCTTGAAATGGACGGGATTATGGAATTCCTTACATGAAGGTAGGAAAAAGTCTGGTTTGAGCGAGGAAATATGCTCGGAATATCACGCTACTGACATACAGTTAGTAGCATAGCTACGTTTCTCGGTGGAGACGCACGCTTGCTGGATGTCGGGGGAAGTATGAAACAGATGTACAGTACTGCTCAGCTTTTCAGCACAGACTGGCTTCATTTGCTGGACGAAATCTCCGTCAAGGAGTCCTAAATCTCCTCACACTGCTAACAGGCTAGATGCAGCATAGCGAAAGAAGGAAATTCATCCAGTGAGTGAAACTTCCATTTGAGAAGACCTCATTTGAGGGGTCAGTCAACACGTGTGACCACGCGATGTGGATCCCACGACTGAAGGATGAGTGGTGCTAGTTCCTGTCTAAGCGCAAGCTAACCACAATCCTTTTCAGTCGCTCGTGACCGGCGGGCGCACTGCTGACGATTCCCAATAAGGATAAACCGACTGTACAGTACTTCGCGGCTTTTCAGCGTAGACTGGCTTCACCTAACAAAATCGCCTTCCGATGTTCTCAACTCTTCCCATACTACTAACAAAACGAGTGTACTTCGCCAATCAGATGAGTCCACAAGAATTCCAAGAACATTCCGCTTTTAAACATAATGATCAGTGTCAGAAACTGGGTGACCACACAGATTGGTTGCACGACACGGCAAATGTCACGGGAGCAATGTAAGGAGTGTCTTTCCATTATGTCCCAGTTGGCATTAACTACATACTGGATAGGCTAAAGTAGATTTACAACCATCTGTGATATGTGTCCCCGTATTCACGACACCTAGCTCGGGACAAAATGCTTACCAATTAAGCATATGTTCAGGCAGACATTCGTGAAGGCGGCCCCATCTCCCGGACAAAGAACGTGACTATCAACAAACCGATCAAAGTAGGCTAACGTCGGTACAATTTTCCAGGGTCTCTCTGTAACAGAAGTCACATGATGTGACTTGATCACCGGTTTGTCAAGCATTCAGATTCTCAAAACATAGGCGATAGCGCACGTGACCGGAAGAAATGGGGATTAAGTCATGCCTCACCGGTTGACACGGTGGAAACACCCGATGGTTTTAGGTCTATAAAATGTCCAGAAGTCCCATTGCGTTATAGTAAAATGAAGATCCTGGTCGATAAACGAAAGCGAGTGAGTTTCATTCCGATGTCCCAGTGAAACCAAATCGAATATTGAAGGTTTGGAACAGAGAGTCATCAGTTCAGATGTGGAAAGGTCCCGTGAGTTGTGTCTGGTTAGTCGAAAAGCCCATCAACACGTGATACACATGATCGGCGGATGATGGCAAATGTCTAGGTGCGAACTGGACACGTGGCTGAACAGACATCGTTGATGGGATGAAATGTCAACTGATGAGGAACGACGAGTATTCAGCAGCTACAGACCATAAATTCCACGGCGTTGGAATGCTTTTGGGGATCTATCACTGGTCTGAACAGCTAGCTGCCTCGGGCCACCTAGATCTTCCCCAGAGGTCCTATGAATGCTCGCGTGTAGAAAATCATTCAGAGGTCCAGGAAACAACTACTGGCGATAAGTTGGAAGGTATTACTCTGTAATCGATCAAGGAACAATCAAACAAAATGCGATGAACAACCGAAACAGCGGTTGTACGTCAAGCGAGGCTGAATGCTTCAAATCAAAGACCGGAATAAACCAAAAATTTAAATGGTGGACTGTTAGAATGCAATGTCAAATCTGTGTGACAAAGTGTTGTGATTTGGAACATGCTGCCACCTACATGCACACTGAAACTAAGGGTTTGGACCGACTAGGGCTGTATGGATTTAAGCTGATTGATCTTATGAGGCTCGTGGTTATCGGGACACGGTTAACCAAGACAAGTGCTGTTCTCAGTACCTGCTGTAAGGTCGCGCAAACTGCGAGGTGGACGACGTGTAAATTGGTAGGATGGCGTGAGAGAGATCGCAGAAAGTTTGGGCGTTATCGGCGCGGTCTTCCAGGATGGGGCCTCCGTGACCTCCTCTGCTTGGCCGGAGACGATGCAAAAAGGTGGATATGCTTGGTCGCTGGCGTTCGTGTAATCAGTTTCTTTCTAGCTAGTCCGAATGAGTGCCTGGAGGCGTAAGCTCGTTAGAGTTCTTTTGAACACGAGGTTGTCGGGAACCCGAAGGCCGCGCCCAATCGATGAACCGGTCGTGGGCTTTCGAGGAGTTGTCAGCTAGGAGAAGATCTTACGTAATGTGAGTGATTTCACTCAAGCTAGTATAGATCCTTGAGAATCTAAAAATGTCGTAAAAATTTAATCTGATCAGCGAGGTAAACTTGGGTGTCCACAAGTAAACTGTCTAGATTTGGTAGATGCGTTCGCTGTGTTTTCAGCGACCTCATGAGTAGTGCTTCATGTCCAGGAAAAATGTGATTGTTTTACTTTGCCCACAGTTTAAAAATATGTACCAGTAAATAGATGAGAACAATCGGCCAGAAAGGTAAATGGTCATCTCGTCTCGTCTGGTCGAATTTTCACTGAGTTTTTGTCACTAGGGCCCCAAAAATTCGACAGAAATTTCAAGCGATCAACCAACTGTGGGATCCACCGGCTGATCAACTCTCCTGGGGGTGGTCGCGCAAGAGTGACGATGTTTGAAACCTGTTACATTCAGCGAGTGTTACATTAATCGCTTTTAAACCTAGAAAAAAAGAGTGCGAATATTGATGCACGACATTTATTTGTATTCCACCTGAAATGGAGTTTCCCAACAGAGAAAATTGAGCTCCGTCCGAAGATGCGTTTTTCCATCCGGTTTAAATCCAGCTAACTGCAGATTTTTTCCACCTCAAACAATTTTAAACAAGTTTTAAGTGTCATAAACGGTTTTCAGGTAAGACAAAATAGGGGAAATTACTCATTCAAGTCTGATGTTAGCTGTGGAGATTTATGTGAAATCTTAAAAAATTAAATTAGATGAAAATGTAGGTGACTAGTAACTAGTAACTAACTAACTAGTAACTAGTAACCAACTACACAACAATCAGACCAAAGGAGGTAGTAATATGCATTTTGAAGTCCATAATTTCTGCAGTTCACTTATTAAAATTCAGTAACGTGATGGTTCAGCTGTATGAGGAGAATTCACTAAAGAAGAAACTTATTGATCTGCGAAATACGTCCAATGGCGCACCAATTTGATTTTAGTGGGAAACTGGACTAAATTCCGGCTTAATCTCTCGGTTATGATATTATTCAACCGAATGTACAGTAGAAAGACCGGTTCAGTTGGTACGCTATTCGAGATATTAAACTATATTTTCGTGAAGGAAACTACTCACAAGCTTTATGAGTAGTTCCGTTCAAGGAACCTGATCATGTCTGATTGGGAGAAGTGGAGTATGTGTCAGAAAGGAATTTTCGGCGCCTTCTGTACATATTTTTGGCTACATTGTTTAGTTTGGAGAAACTACTTTGTTTCCGTTTTTCTGTGGTTGCTGCTCGCACAAGGGAACAGCGACACACTACTTCGTGAGAAACTTTTATTGACAGGTCGATACAGTGCGATTTAAGGTGTCGCTTTTGTTGGCAGATTCCCCTGTCCTGGTGGCTGTTTTGGGCATTCTTTGGCGAGCTGCTGTTGACTGATTTTTCATGATCGAATGACTCGCCCGGACTGACTCGGTGGTTCGTAGCGATCAGGTGAGTGTAGCAGCGCTTGCCACGTGTTTCGCTGCTCCAGTTCTTCAGCAAAGCGACAAACGCTCATTGCTGTCTGGATCCCAACAGGTAGGTTGATAACTATAGATGAGACGTCCACCGGGCACACGCGTGTCTTGAAAAGGCTTTGTTCTTTGTTCTGTAAGCCTTGTGCAAAACCGCTTACGGTTGTTTAGCAACTGCACTATGTCAAATGTTGCGCGTAGCTGACAGTTGACCTTGTAAGCCGAGGATTGCTATACTCCTGGATTACATCCAGTTCTGCTGCGCTTTCTTTTAAGTGTCATAAACGGTTTTCAGGTAAGACAAAATAGGGGAAATTACTCATTCAAGTCTGATGTTAGCTGTGGAGATTTATGTGAAATCTTAAAAAATTAAATTAGATGAAAATGTAGGTGACTAGTAACTAGTAACTAACTAACTAGTAACTAGTAACCAACTACACAACAATCAGACCAAAGGAGGTAGTAATATGCATTTTGAAGTCCATAATTTCTGCAGTTCACTTATTAAAATTCAGTAACGTGATGGTTCAGCTGTATGAGGAGAATTCACTAAAGAAGAAACTTATTGATCTGCGAAATACGTCCAATGGCGCACCAATTTGATTTTAGTGGGAAACTGGACTAAATTCCGGCTTAATCTCTCGGTTATGATATTATTCAACCGAATGTACAGTAGAAAGACCGGTTCAGTTGGTACGCTATTCGAGATATTAAACTATATTTTCGTGAAGGAAACTACTCACAAGCTTTATGAGTAGTTCCGTTCAAGGAACCTGATCATGTCTGATTGGGAGAAGTGGAGTGTGGGTCAGAAGGGAATTTTCGGCGCCTTCTGTACATATTTTTGGCTACATTGTTTAGTTTGGAGAAACTACTTTGTTTCCGTTTTTCTGTGGTTGCTGCTCGCACAAGGGAACAGCGACACACTACTTCGTGAGAAACTTTTATTGACAGGTCGATACAGTGCGATTTAAGGTGTCGCTTTTGTTGGCAGATTCCCCTGTCCTGGTGGCTGTTTTGGGCATTCTTTGGCGAGCTGCTGTTGACTGATTTTTCATGATCGAATGACTCGCCCGGACTGACTCGGTGGTTCGTAGCGATCAGGTGAGTGTAGCAGCGCTTGCCACGTGTTTCGCTGCTCCAGTTCTTCAGCAAAGCGACAAACGCTCATTGCTGTCTGGATCCCAACAGGTAGGTTGATAACTATAGATGAGACGTCCACCGGGCACACGCGTGTCTTGAAAAGGCTTTGTTCTTTGTTCTGTAAGCCTTGTGCAAAACCGCTTACGGTTGTTTAGCAACTGCACTATGTCAAATGTTGCGCGTAGCTGACAGTTGACCTTGTAAGCCGAGGATTGCTATACTCCTGGATTACATCCAGTTCTGCTGCGCTTTCTTAACATACCCGTTGCCTTTCAGACCCGCTCCAAACTCACAGTTATTTATACTTTTATTCCATGGCACTATCTTTTTCCTTCGGCTTTAAGGAACTTCGTTTCATCTAAAGGCAAGTCAATCAAGTTACTGGTATACTAAGTTCAGTAGCACTATTCCGGGGCCTGAACGGTATAAACGATTTCCGTTTTGCTACGCGGGTCTTTCAAGGCTTGCATGCGATTGTGCACTACAGGGCTTCTGCGATAAACGGGGCCTTGCTGGGATTGATAGCGTTAAAAAAACGCTCAGCTGTAACACCTTTTCGGTGTCTAGTTGCCATGCTACCCGAAGGAAGCACGAGAGCTGTGGAACTGGCAGGTTGCCCAAACCTAGACGGGGGAAGTCGAGTGGCGGAGGTCGGATTCGAACCACGGACCTTCCGGTCAGTAAATTCGCGCTCTAACCACTTATGCCCCAAATTGATAGCATGCATTCACCAGTACTGTCAGCTGGTTAAATCTGTCTTCCGAGGTAACCAAAGGATGAAGAGGTCCTCAAACGAGGTTTCTTCCACTGATTGACTAGATCCTCTTCGAGGAATACAGATATTAGGACTCTGAGGTATGACTTCCAAAGATATGTCGTTTCTTTTGGGTCCACTCGCTATGCCGGAAATGTCAGCATCACGACTTGAGTATTGTTCAGAACATGTGGTGCAATCTTGAGGTCCGACAGGTGCTGCTTCTGCCTCTGTTAGACGAGCAAAGTTTGGTGGGTACTTGTGTACGGAGGCCGGACAAAGTTAGCGGACTTGATGAGTCTGTCTGCAGTGGTTGCGTACACTCAGAACACAAGTACACAGAGGTGGCCATTTTCAACAAGATTTCTAACGATGTAGCTAATATTGATCATATTCACATCACTCTCGTTTGAGCGGTCGTCCTCCTGTCCTGGCGTAACTATTCTGTTGGACTCACTAGAGCGACTTATACCCCGCAAAGCTCACAACATATAACTAATATATCTTTCTTGTGTATAAATTACTAAGTAACCGTTCTCGTCTCAGGGAAAAGGGAGAATAGAGCTGACAAGAATGACATAATCCGTGAACAGACTTATCTCACATCAGGGAAAGCCGTCGATATGGTAAGAATGGTTTTTTTTCGAGTCTACTTGCTTTACAAACTGCGTTGCGGGATTTTTATCCGACTCTGTGTGGAAACACCGGTTGACAGTTGCTCAGTATGCATTGCCGTTCAACGTAGTGTGAGTCGCAAACAGTAAGTAGGTAGACAGACTAAATACCCTAGTTTTTCCCCATTTACTTTCCTATCAGTGGGTACATTTTCTTTTGGAAACTTTGACCAAAGAGAAGCAAAAGGACATCATAGCTCTGAAGTTCATGTCTCGAAAAAGGTCTGTCACAAGAGCAAACAAAGATCATATGATCGACGAACAAATTAACAAGAGAAGTTAGATTGATGAAGATTTTATCCTGTAAGTGAAGCCAGTCTATGCTGAAAAATCTGATAAGTACTATACAGCTTGATTAAGAATCATCAACGGAAATCCAGGTAGCCTCGAACGAGGGACTTCCTGGCTAGCAGTTTGAGCATCTAACCGTTTGGCCACAAGCAGCTGATCAGTAGTGTGCTTAGCTCAAGGGATATCCCATTTCGCGCCAAAATCGATCCGAAACACCATGAATGCCATTCGTTCAACTACTTCTTACCCCTTCTATCTAAACAAGACCCTCACATCGGTGTTCAAGGACATCATCATACAAACCGAAAACGGTCGAGTCTCATGAAGGTCAAAAACGGACCAAAGTGACCTGAAGATCAATGAGAATTCAAGAGAGGGGACAAATCATTCTGTCAGTAGGATTGTCCACACCTTTGATAAATCCTTTATTGATCGGATTTGGAAAGATCGCTGCCTGTTTGTCTTGACGAAGTCGGGAAATTGTATGACGACGTTGGTGGCCACTTTAATGGGATAACACTTGTAAAATGGCCTTGATTTGAGGTGAGTCATCACCAACGGTCATGCAGGTGTGAATCGGGCACAAATGTTTGCCTAGCCGCCTCACACAAGACCGGCAAATGTGCCGTGCTGATCGGATGATGAAAGAAAAAAACAACAAAATAACCGGTCGTGGGCTGTCGATGGATTTTCAGCAACCTCATGAGTAGTACATTGCAAAGATATACACGTATCGCGATATTTCAAATATCATAGTGACTGAAACATGAGGCGGCCTGGTGCAGCACATTTAGTTGCCTGAGAACATCATAAACGAGAGATTCAGCCGGGTTCCAGGCGAGTCTGTCGAAAGAACCAAATTAGTTTGCAAATGAGTGTATATTCGCTAACACAAAG